AAAAAAAAAAATACATTTCTGATTGCTTTCCAGTTTTATAAAATGTCTACTTCAGCGGCGCGTAATTCCCATGGCCTCCTTAAGCGAGCATGGAACGAGATTCCCGACATTGTTGGTGGATCAGTATTGGCGCTCATAGGATTGGGAATGGCTGCTGTCGGTGTGGCCGGATACTATGCCAGAGACGGTGATAATCGGCGGTATAAGTTGGGATATGTTGTAATGCGCCCCGATGATCCACGCGCAGCAAAAGTTCGGAAAGATTAAGATCGGTGAATTAAAAACTTGGTTCTAAAAAATGTAAACAAATGGCGAAAATATAACGCAAGACTTAAACTATCGTACGATTCGATTTTGTAGAACATATATCCATATGTAGCATGAACCTGCGTTAATGAAATGACTGAGAATCATGCACTACATTCTCTAGAACGTGTTATTTTGGCTCGAGTTGTTCATTCCTTTATCGCAATTAATCAGAAACAGTCGCGGGCATTTTTATGTTGTGAGCTTTTCATGACAAAGTCATCCGGTAGTGCCATGGTTAAATGTTATGAGTTCTCAAATGAATTTCTTTATTTAACAATTCGCAAATGCACTAAAAAGCTCTTCTATAAGTCCTTTTGAGGTGTTAAGCTTTCCGTTCTCGATCCTTAAGGCTTCTTTAGTTTGTTAATCATCCTTATCGGATACCCCTCCGACTGATGCAATCCACACGGATCTAATCTGATTCGCACTGTCGTAACAAGCGGGTGAAAGAGGATCCATGCGAATGACATCCGTCGGATACATGCCTATTCCGGTCCGACGAATGCCCCTCGCACGTATCTAATCCTTCATACTCGCTTGTAATGACTGCGACTCCGATTACACCCATGTGGATGGTACGAATAACCTTTCTAACCAGTAACCTTTCTCTAGCCAGTATCTACAGTACATACCAGGTTGAAATACCATGGTGGTTAGATAAAATCGCTCATTTACTACAATAGTGTCAAAACTGAAAAAAGCACAACTCGAGATAAGTATGTCGGAAAGAATTGGTCTTTTTAACACTTGTATACCTAGAAGATAATTTAGGTAGGCCTTCTTAAGTAAAGCCATTCTAAGAGGCCTACCCAAGAAGTGCTTCCTTGCATGCCTTCTAGAATCCACTTACAATTTACGCGAATGCATAACTTTATATTATTTACCATTACAAATGAATTTCAATAAACATTTTAAGCTTCAATTTCACATACATATTTGATATAAACCTTAAGCAAATACTTCAAAGATGTATGATTTTCATAAATTAAAGAAGCAACTTTAAAATAACACCTCCAAAAGGCCTTCTGAAGTACGTCCTATAAAAGCTCTTCTGGAAGGCCTTCCATGGGGAGCGAAAGAAGAAGCCCTTCAATTTGTGCCACTCCATACAAAAAAGAAAGGTGAAAGGAATATAGAGTGGAAGGCCTCTTGACTCTCAGGAAGGCCTTTCTGAAGGGCTTTTAACTCCTGAAATTATCTACTGGGTAGCAGTGTGATGCTTGTTAACCAAGGAATGTTAATCCTTTATGATTTAATTTTTTTTTACTTTTTCAAAAAAGTCAGCAATTAACCGTTATTTTTTTCACTGATATTTTTTCAGTCAAAAGTAAAAGTTAAAACTCGACTTATTTTTTCGGTCAAATATAAAAGTTAAAATTAGACTTTTATTTTTTCGGTCAAAATGGCAGTTTACATATTCACAATACAATAGGGGAGCTCACGTTGAATAGCATTTTAGGTGTAAAGTTGCTACGTAGCAATCTAGCACGCATTTTGTTGATGGAAGAGCAAATGCTACGGAAAGTGAGTACCGCTATTATACTACTGAAAGTAAGTACCGCTAATATATTTTATTTATTTAAATAAATAAATAATATATTTTAATAAAAAGTGAACACCCTTCCAATTTCTGTTTTCTATCTTCTGTAAATGTGTTGAGTTTCTTTAATTTAGGCTTTAAGTTATTCACCTTTTTACTGGAATGATTCGGAATTCAATTTAACAATTAATTTGAAATAGCTGCAAAGTTCTGCTCCGACAAATTGTAACGCAAATCGCTAAGAAGTAAGCTTAGTGTCGAGAACGCGCGTTCTACAGTAACTTGTGTCGCTGGAAATTGATGTATAATACATGCCAGATTTTTTAGTCGGGGATATATAAATTTTTTACTCTCCCAGTAATCCATAAGGTAGGTATCAAAATCTTCTTCTCCTTATAGGTGCCTATTTCCATAAATGCTTTTCGAACGTAATCTTCGGAACAAATAAGTCAAGTTTTGACTTTATATTTGACTGAAAAAATAAAAGTCAAAGTTTAACTTTTATTTTTGACCGAAAAAATAAGTCATATTTTAACTTTTATTTTTGACCGAAAAAATTAGTTAGTTTGTATCTTTTATTTTTCACTGAAAACATATCGGTGAAAAATAACGATTATTTTTTGACTTTTTTGAAAAAAGCATAACCGTTAAGGTCCCTGAAAATAATCATTATTTTTTAAATTTGAACCAAAAAAAGTCAACAAGATGAAATCGCGGTAAAACCTTTTTAACTATAGTACACTGAAGTTTTTGTGTTCGTACTAGAGATGGGCAAAACTAGTGACTTTCTACGAGACACGTTGTGTCACGCATGAACGTGAGTGGTTTTGAGAAAAATCACGTAATTTCCGTGATCGGGAGTGACTGAAATTTTTTCTGACGTGAGTGTGCGTCAGTTAGATTTCCCGTCAGTCACGAAATTTTCACATACATACAATGTACATATGTCTATTTTCAACCAAAAGTACAGGAAACCAAAGCTGCGAGAAATCGGGAGAAAGCTTAAGATTTGCCACTTCTTAGAAGCCTTTTAAGGTAAATTTCAAACATACCAGCTGCTCAGCTACTAGTGGAAGAGTTATTTCTGCGTCAAGTAGAATTGTAGAAGATAGACGGTTACAGTTTTTTTCTTTTTTTAATTTCATAATTTTCCACTTTTTTTTATTGTTGGACGATAAAACGTAAATGAGTATAGGTGACCATCAGGCCAAGGTGCAGGAATGGTATTTTCAGGGACAGTAGTCTGTAGTTCTAACTTTAATTTAAGTCTCAGTGGAAGGTCCTATCACCATTAGTTTCCTTGCAAGAGGTTCTAAAATATTGCAAAAAACGCAATTTTTTGACACTCACCACGTTTTTCGCAAAATCTGGAGCCGATGGAAACTTATACTTACGGATTCGTAATCAGCACAAAAATGTCTATCAAAAACATCTTTAACATTTGCCGCAATAAAATCGGTGTTGCCCTGTGTTACCTACACTAATTATATATATAAAGAAAAGCTCCTTTTTTTATTAGAGGTAATCTCGCGAACTGCAGAACTGAACCGCTCAGGATCAATTTACTACAACTGCGTGCAATTGCTGGCTTATGCCGATGACATCGACATCGTCGGTAACAAAAACCGCGAAGTCTGATTTTGCGGAAGATTTACGGGCCGACGCTCCAGCTCTGAAAGTATTCAACTCAGAATCCGCTGGTGGTAGCAGAGGTATAACGCTTTCGTCAGGTTATTTAAGACGGCAATGGAAGATATGCTTTCTGTCGACCACAAAACCAAACGTGAACTTGAATTGATGGCGAAAACGGTCGACCAAATGTTTCAATAAATAAATTAATTTTGGACGGGACGAAGTTCGCCGGGTCTGCTAGTATAATAATAAAAGTTAAAAAAAATAATCATTATTTGTGATCGAAAACATAAAAATCAACTAATAATTATTTTTTCGTTGAGCGAAAAAATAAAACTCAATAATACGTATTATTTTTAAGCGAAAAAAGATGCAAATCATAAAATGATGATACAATGCTTTTAAGTTGTGAATTTACATATCGCTCTAACCAACAATTTTCGAAGCTGTGTTTTCACAAATTTCGGTAGAACATGTTAAAATACACCTTCACTAAAAATTTGAAAGTGTTCAAGTGTGATAAACATTGGATTTTGTATTTAAAACTTGCAGAGGATCGTATTTATTGGCAATTAGTTCATTTGCTTACATATATTTTTACTTAAAAACTAAACAAAATAGTTACACTACGTGTTTCAACAAAGTTTCTTCATGTTCAAATGTACTTAATAGTATTAAGTGCAGTCAAATAAGTGTCGAAAATTTGTAATCTAACTGTTTTGCATGGTTGTCAATTTTATTTTTGAATACTTTAAATCTAGTCACAAAGAATACTTGTTTGTATAGAACTGTATATCGACGCCTCCAAATCATACTATGCTAAGCCTGACTAAGTCCAAGTTGACTTAGCATGGTAGTGGTTTGTAGGCGTCGATATGCGGGCTCAAACTTAAAAACTAGGGTGGTCGACGTTTTTTCTTACTCAGCAAAATAGTTACTTCTCACTTGACTGACAGTTAAACCCGCAATTTTGCTTCTCAACACTTTTGTGCAAAATTTCAACCCTTTAATTGCCAAGTTTTCCAAATACGTTGCTAAATTTTCTAAATGTCCCCTAATACAAGAATTATGTCTATAAGACTTTTTATTCTTAAAATTACACATATTAAATTGGATTTTCGACCATAAAATGTTAACCCTTAAAAAAATTGAATGAGCAAAAGGACGTAAGTTTTACATTCTCAGCGAACGAACGTATTAGAAAAGAATTGGCCACCAAAAAAAAAAAAATCATTACAATTTCCAGAGTTTTGACATTTTTTCTGTACATTTATGTTTCACTATGCTTCATTACGCTAAGAGGAACACTGTGCGATACCCAACGTTTTACATAAAATGAATAATATTCCAATGTATAATTTTGTGTGCCAATCTGCTCGCAATCGTTCCAATTCAATCGTTTATTTCACTTATAGTTCATCTATAAAATGAATTTAAACCTTTCCAAAGTGTATAGAAATGCAAAGAATAAAAACCTCAATAAAAAGGATATTTATAAAAAGTATGGTATTTCATTTAAAAGTTGTCACTTCGGCATTGTGTGTTTATTACAAATCATATTATTACAAGTCCAAAATATGTATGACCTTCAATAAGCCAGCTAATTTCTAAGAATTAATATTTTTCCCAGTGCTTGTGAGCTCATTAAAAGTAAACAAGAAATATGTACAAGTAGTCGATTTTTTCGGTCAAAAATAAAAGTTAAAAATTTAATTTTATTTTTTCGGTCAATTATAAAAGTTAAATCTGACTTGTTTTTTCGGTCGAAATAGCAGTTTATTATTGCAAAAATGCCTTATAATATAATAATACATATAAGTATGTATTTATCTCACACTACCACAACTTTTGTTTAATTGTTTAGATTTTACAGCCGGTTTCACCAGCAATTTAAGTTTAAAATGGTTTATTATTTTCTGTAAATTTCCATATAAAATTCAAAAAATTAAAATCATTTTTCACTGGAATTGCTGTCGTGAAATTGGCTGTTAAACTATCATATTTTCGCCAAACTATAATCTCAAGCCTGAATTGGAATGCAAGAGGGCAGTCTATTAATGAAAATGCAGAATAGGCTGCATTTGCTTAATGTACAAATAGTTAAGCAAGAAGAATACGGCTGTTATTATGAATCGAAACATGCATTTTCAATGAATGCGAAATTTACTACACAACAACTTTAAACATGTACATACATATGTTAGGGATGGCCATTTTTTTTACTATTCGCGTATAGCATGGGAGGATTCTAGGTGTAATTCCAAGCAAATTGGTCAAATTGCAAAAATAGGTTTCGAAGAAAATGTAAAAATTTTTACTCTTGCACCCTCTGAGGCACGTTTTAAGAAAAAGATAATAAAACTCCCATACAAATTGACCCGCCCTAATGTATGTACATTTCGAGGGCTTACATATATTCAATACGACCTATCTGCAGTTTACACAAAAACTACTTTCTGATCTTAGAACCTATCTGAGACTTAATTATTAGACTAGTTGCAATTTTAATTTCGAAATTCAATAGCTAATTTTGCTGATGATATACAAGGCCAGCATTAACATCATCGATGACAGTTAGGTCTAAAGTGGAGTTTTGTATGGGAATATAGTTTTTGAGGAAACTGTAGATAGACCATATTGAATATAAGCCCTCGATATGTACATACATATGTATGCATGTGTCTGTCTTTAATATTTAAACCTAACCAAAGAACATAGAAAACAAACACAAATCTACTGTATAGGAACAGACCCGACCATTCATGTTTCGACCCGCAAAAACTAAATTAATTTAATTTAATTTAATTGAACTGCTTAAACAGCCTAAACTTTCGACTTTGTTTTCTAAGCTTTTTACAAAGAGCATGCAAAGTGTGTTTTGTTTCTCTATTTAAGTATATTACTTTACCTCGAAAATCAAATTCAGTGGCTAAACAACATAGTCAAATTTTGCTACACAAACGTTACCGCCCAGCCCAGCATCTTACGTTTTCTATGTTCTTTTATTTGATTTCAAAAAAGTTTTAGTCAGCATTATTAGTAATTTGAAACGGGGTACTACTATCCTGTTTTTATGTAGTCACTCACTTTCATTCAATCAGATCCGGTTGTTTATTTTTCTCAATGTTATAGTTATTTAGATAACCACATCTAGGTATTATTTACTTTTCATTTCGTTAATATACATATTTGAAGGCTTAAAAAGTCTCACGTCAAAATGATAATAAATATAAACTATTAGAGTAACTAGCTTTATAAAAATTATAACTTAATTGACCTTTCCCATTTTTAACCGATTCCTTACAATTGCTTCACTGACATTCGAAACAACACATTGGACCACATAGCTACATAACTTTTTCGGGCATCTTACTGTGCTTTAAATTGATCTGTACACTCTGAGAAAACATCTTAATAATACCATAGTAATCATTTGAGAATACTTTCAAGAAACTCGGTATGTTTTTGTTGACTAATTCGGAACAAAACTGTGGATACTTGCGATATGACGGCTGCAGATCATCCCAGATGGAAAGTACGTCGCATTCGTCACTAAAAGAATAAAAATGTTAAACTACTTATAAATTTTAAATTACCTTACAGGATTGATACAATCAGTGGCGTAGCGTTGATTTTGGGCACGGTGCGCTTTACGCTTTAAAACCAGCACACCATGGCCAGAGGGACACAAGAAAATCTTTGTAAAATTGTTAAAAGGAAAATCTTAACTTTATGAGCATTCTTTTTGACCCTAAAAATTATGTTAATTCCTAAACATAACCTTAAAATCAAAAATTGCAGAGGTCTCTGTTGTATTATGTGATTAGTCGAAAAGACAAAATAATAAAACTGCTGTTAAATATAAAAAAAAATAAAATCATTGATCAAGGGGGAATCTTTCCCGAGCCCCTCCCTTGGCTACGCCGCTTGATAATACATCTGTATCTAAATATGTGTACATATATTTAATATTACACACCGAATTTCATTGCTGCAGTCTTGAATGGATATAATCAAGTATTGTACTTTCAGTTGTGAGCATTGATTGTAAACATCGGATGATTGTTGGCGGCTGAACACCGTATAGACATGTTCGGTACGTTCGCTGGAATATACAAGAATAATATCAGGGTACAGAAGGTTACAAAAGGTATACACTTTTTGCTGTTTTAGTTATATGTATGTGCTGTTATGAATTTTTTGTTGCGCTATAAAAGATCATTCTTTTGATCTTATTGTGCTAATGATTTTATTAATAAATGAAATGAAATGAAAAAAAAAATGAAACGCAATGACAATCGGAATGGTTAGTATAAACCTTTAAAAAAACTCCAAATCAATACATACATATTATGTTAGCATCACAATACATACAGTATATCTATAGCACCCCCAATTCAAGGCGATATTGTTTGCCACTTATATTTAATTATTTATTTTTAAGAATTTTCAATTAAAATACAGTTCATTCTCTAACAGCCGGTTTCACCAGCACTTTAAATGGAAAATTATATTTCATTTTCTGTCCAATTCCATATAAAATTCCAAAAATTAAAATAATTTTTCACTTAAATTGCTTTCGTGAAATTGGCTGTAACAAAACTCATATAAACTCAAGTTTAAAACTTTTTAAAAGACCGCAAAAAGTGCAACAAATTTTCATCTCCTTATTTCAAACTTTTTTCTCAGAAGCTCTACAATTTTTTTGAGTACACAGTTGTAAAATAAAAATAAATTGTTTTAGAAAATAAAGAGCAACAAACAAAAAGTTTCATAAAAATTCCAGACACAGAAAAGGGCATCGATAAATGCGTGGCGTTCAACTGACTGCATCATCCAAGATTTGCGCCTTGCACTTCAAATCTTGATTTTTTTAAATCAATCCTGATGCTGTTTCATCAACTCAACTTGCATCCCTTTTATTTCGTAATATTTTTTCGAATATACTATTTAACTATTCTGTTTCTTGATTGGTTCAGTAACCGCCTAATAGCCCATTTCCACCAAAAGCTTAACTGCAGTTAAGAGACCAGATATGTTGCAAAAATTTTTAAATGGGGTGATCGGCAAGGTTAGTTTCTTACTTTTTGCTTTTCTACCTTGATTTGCTTGTACGTATTATAAGCAATTACCTCCTTCCTAATGTTAAAATTTCAAGATGTTAGGAAATGGCGCTGATTTTTAATAATTTTTTTTTTGCTGACGGTGTTGCGCATTTCCTGCCATATAAAGTATGCTCGACAATTACTTTTTTGCTCGACAATTACAATTGGTATTTTAAAATTTGTTAAAAATACATAATTAAAGAGAAGAAACACATAAGACGGATACATATTATTACCAAAGTCTGATTATTTCAATGAGTAATGGAATTACTAAATAATTAAATGTACATAATTGCAATACAAATTTTTTGATGCCGGCAAGAAATGAAGAGTACGAGGCTCCGAAGAAATTGATTTTCGACGAGTAGTTGTTAGTGATTTTTTGGAGAAGACGTAGTTTTTAGTGGATTTTTCCACAGCCAAAAGCCTCCTCGCTCTTAGTTCTTTCCTTGAGCAAATGCAACTAGTGTCAGCTAGAATTTCCGGAGAATCAATTACACCATTGTTCATTTTGCACCAGGTCTACCATTTGTATATATTATTCTGCAGAGCGTATTTGTCCTGTTCCTTTCTAATTTCTCTATTTTCAGATTGTCTGTATATAATAAGTATTCAGAGCTGAAGCTGGGCCAAGGTGTGACCCTTGCGGGACTCCAGATACAACGTATAGAAGAAAATGTCACCAACGTCAGCAAAAAAAATATTAAAAATCAACGCGATTTTTCAGCGCCTTTAGACCTACTAAAATTGAATGGGCTATAAAAGTGCATACCTAAAATTCTGAATAAAAATTTTAAAAATTGTTGAATTTGTATAATTTTGCCCTGGTTATGTAAAGTGCTAGACTTGTATAAAAAAAAAATATAAACATTAAATAAACAAAAGAAAAAAGGCAAAACTGGTCAAAATGTCAAATAACTTTATCACAAACATGGATAAAAACATTATAGGGGTCTTCATCAGAAGTGATAAACTTGTTAAAATGATAAATTTATCATTTTGATAAATGAACTGTCAAACTTTGTATAGACTATGATAAAAACATAGACTCTATTAACCAAATTTGATCAGTTTATCAAACGATTTTGGCAGATAAGCGTATAAATTTCAGCAAAATTCAACCGTCTACGATAAATTTAAGCAATTTATCCCTTGTATCACTTTAGATGAAGATTCTTTATGTTTTTATCATGATCACAAGTGTGTGTGTACGTAGATATCTAGAGTAGCAATTGATTTTGTTAATCGAGTTTGTAATGTATATTTTTAAATTACTTGATGTGCTTCATTTCCAAATGCGCATGGTTTACAATTGGGCGTCTAGTAACTAAATGCACCGTACCAATAATGTCTACTGGACCTACAGAGAATTAGAAACATTAATTAAACTATATACTTGAGCAACATAAATGAAAGCATGATACAAAATCAATATTAGGTGCATTATTAAATGATACCTGCAAACACAGCATCACGTTCGGTGTTCATCTTGATCCACTCCAACATACTGTCCAAATCATCATTAGTATTTCCTTGCCGGGTGGGAAAGTACTCTTCACGTATGTTCTGTAAGGCGTATAAATCACTGGGCTATCACTGAATCCATCGTAGTCCGATTTTTTCGTGAAATCTACGAGCATGCCTTCACTGAATCCGAATAGTTACGAACATAGCATATATGTATTTTTAATGCATACGTTCGTAGCAATTTAGATTCAGTGATCGTATTTTCGTAGGTTTCACGAAAATTGGACTTCGATGGATTGAACAATAGCCCTGAACATAATTACGTATGTAATTACCAATTCGTTTTTTTTTTTTTTGATTAAGCATGAATATATGCATGCATATAAAAAATGAAACTACAATATTATCCAATTAAGATATATTTGATATGGGTAAATAGATACGGTAACAGCCACTAAATCCTACCCGATTTGGGGGACAAGAGACTGTTGCAACATCTACGAATTATAAAATGATTACTCACCACTAAACCAGGATTCACCATACTAGTTAAAAAAACTGCCAACGACACTGTCCAAAATATATTGCGTTGTTTACGATACCAGAACTTGGAGCATATTGTAGGTGCAATAACACAACCTTGCGTGAAGGATAGGAAGAATAATTTTCTAATACTAAGGCCGAGTGCGGTAAAAACAATCATTTGTATAAAGCTGTAGAGATAGTGAAAGCTGAAAATATCGCTTTGATAATCAGTCCTGGCAGCACTGAAGTCTGATGTCTTAGAACGTGGGCGGCGAGAACTCTTAGTATCCCTAGTAGCTTTGTCACTCTCAGCTGCATCGTTTGCCTCCTTAGCGGCAGTTGATACATGATCTTCACAGACTTTTGGTGCTCTCGGTGCTTCATGAACGTTATCTTCCGTTGCCACATCATCGTGTTTGGACGGAGGTTTATTGTCTTCAGTAATCTTCTCTTGTTTCTTATCTAAGTTTTCTGTATTATTTACATACATAGTTTGCAGATTCTCCTTTTCCTTTTGCTGGTTTCGCTCTTTTATCTGCTCTTTTAGTAACTTGATGTTGTTCATAAACTCCGCATGCTCATCTATTTTGCTGCTTTTAATTTTTGCCTTTTCTACTTTATATCGCTCATAATCGTAGTCACAATCCTCCAATAACTTTAAGCATTCATTCAAATCATTTTCAGTCTCTTTATTTGACATATCTCGCATAGAAATGTGATTTTCTTCCAAAAAATCTTCTAATATATATTTTTTAGCTCGTTCTACGTTATCCTTGCTAGGCGTCTTGTTTTCGCTGCTCTTGCGCCACTTGCGAAAGAACTTTGCTAACATCACCACACCATACATACAATACGGTTTTACAATAAGGGTTTTAATAAGCTCCCATAAGTCAGCAAAATTTAAACGCTGGTAAGCTGGATTGCATGCCGCAAGACTGGTAGTAAAATTAACCTTTGCCTGCAAACACCAATGCACCACTAAATCACGGTACAAGGCAAATCCATTGTCTACAGAGCGAGCCATTCCCGTTTTTTCCAACAAATCAATTAGGGTGCCTTGCGCACTGAATGCCATCAGCAAGCCAGGCCATATGGATTTTAGTGAAAAGTTGCTATTTGGTGACTGAGGTTTTAGCCTTCGTCCGATGCTAATAAACAAAAGACCAATTGCCGGCCCAATTTGCCAGGCGAAAATATATTTTTTGTTACAGAATGAACAATAATATGCTACTACGGTAGCAATGAGTTGAGAGGTCGCATAGTCGATGCTGAAGGTGCTAGAAACAACCTCAGAAACTGGACTTAATGACCAAGGCATCATCATAATGAGAACTTGCGTTGCAAAGATGACGGATGAAAACTGCCAACACAGAAGAGCGAGCGCAGTTAGCCCCGCCAGTTTGATGGTCTGTGAATTAAATAAATAAAGATATATATAAGTATATATTCATTTTCGTATATGTACATACATATGTATATGTTTTCAACTAAAATTACAAATTTAACTATTGCATCTAGTTATATGATCGATGTGTTTAGGTATCTGTGGTAAAAAACAATAACCAAATATTTTTCAGGCCAAAGACTGTAATTCCAGCATCATTCCCAATAACCCTATGGGGAATTAGAATGCTGTTGCAACAGGAGCACACATTCGAGAAAAACTAAAAAAAAACGCTCTTTTAGCGGAAATTCAGAAGTACATTAACAAAAATTTATGCGAACTCTTAATCAAAAACTAAGGAAAATAGTTATTGCAAAATGCAATCTACTAAAGTTTATCGGCCTAGGCTTAAAAAAATTATGATTGTTTTTATACTTTAACCCCCCAAATTCATAAAAAATAAAGAAGACTGTAACGGCTTTATAAATCTAAAATATCACTTTATAAAGCTCTTTAAGCCTATTTTATTTTTTATAAGGCCATAAATATATAGTTAAGTGATCGTTAAATTTTGGACATGCATACTTAACGCTCGTATCTATTTTTGGAAGATATTTCTTTTTTTACTCCAAAAATGGATACTGCCGTTTTTCTAAAATACTTCATTTTAAATGCTAACTAGTTTTTAATACACAGTTACACTTTTATGTAAAATAAAAATAGGGACACGACATCTTGACCAGTTTTGACTATTTTCCTTTGGTTTGTTTAAATGGTTATTAATTTTTTATTAAAGTCTAGTTAAATATCCAGATTTCAAAGGTTGTAAAGAAACTAAAAGAAAACTCACTTATAATTTTTAGAAAATTCCAAGTATACAGTTTTCGGCTTGAAAACGACTCATTTGCAAAAGTACCCCAGAAACAGAGTATACTGATATGTTTGTACGTATATACAACAAAATTATTACTTAAATCAGCTTAAGAGGGTATAGCTTTAGGCCACAGATATGTATATATCTTACAATAAAAACTCGCATGTGATTTTCCTTCCGCTCTGTCACACGATCAATACATAAGCAAAGGTAAAATATTTGCATGAAAATAATTGGAAATGCAAAGTTTTCACGGGCTACGGGTGAATCGTAAATTTTTGACGCGAAACTGTGAAACATAATGTACGATACCACTGCGTAAATTCCTCCAAAGATATTTTCGCTGAAAGCAGGAGTGTTTTTAATTAAATGTCGATTTCATATTATTTTGGTAGCTATTTCACCTTAGTAATGTTCCATATATGTAAATGACTAGAACAGTTAATCCCCCCAGAAGCCAGACACATTCCAAATAAAATTGCATTGGTTGCCCGAAGCCATCACAGTGTCGATGCTCCAATGGCAATCGAATGTCATTGCTACGCCAACAGCTAAAAATCGGAAAGTTTTCGTTGAATGTGTAACGCCTAAGCAGGTGATATAGGTACCTAAAATTAAAATTTTTGAAAAATATAGCGATTACTATCCAAAGCTTACATACCCGATCATGAGTTCGGGGAGCACATGGAATCGCTCCAGTACATTTACACTTTGTGGGTATTCAATACCAGTCACATTTTTTAGTTTATTGTAGCCACTCCAGAAATCGGCTTCTTCTGTGAGGGTCTTATAAAATGAATAATACAATGAATCCTCTCGACGTAGTAATGATTCTCTTTCTAATTGTGTTAAATGTGCTATGTTGGTACGGGCTTCAAATATTGAACGCACATGTTGTACGTATAAAAAGAAAAAGCCGGTGCCTGTTAAATGAGAAATATTAGTAAAATAATTTACGTAATTTTACAAATATAATGAACTCTTTCTTTACATTCCCCAAAATAATT